CTACAAAATTATCTCGTCAAGCTGCCTGTTTTCCCAGGAAAGTTTTCCCTAAATACATGACAAGCTCAAGACTGCACCTTTCAAAAAATTCATTCTCCATTTCTATCTGATCTTCAGTAGTTATTGTTGAAAGCACACTGCATATTTTAAGAACCAAACAGAACACTGATTTCCCCACTTTTCGAGAGGACCCATGTGCTGAAATCAAAGTACTGCAATGTGTGGATTGCTCATTCACTATCAAAAAGATAAAATATATGAACTAAAGCTGTACTGTGAAAGCTGAGCAGAACTGATACCAAGCAGATATATTCAAGGAATGGAAATATGGTAATGTATTCTTACAATTATTGAATAAGGGAGGGGGGCACAGCTACCACTCTGATGCTTTAGTCTAGGACCTAAACAAACAGATGGACTTTTGACAAATCAATAATGTTCTCCAAAATAAAGTGTTAAGAATAAAATGAGAAAAAGCTTATTTGTTAGCTGTGACTTTTTAAAGATAAAAGTATCAATTAACTATTTGCCAATACATGATTATTTTTTAAAATCACTAATTTTATCAGTAGTCTTTACCTTCATTTTGGGTGGGAGCAGATAGCAGGGTCCTACTGGATATTATTTCCATTTTCACGGCTCTTGTGATCATACTGTCTCTACATCCTGCTCCTTCTAACTCTAACACACACCACAACTCCCCTCCGCCTCTGGCAGGGTTCCTGTACAACACGATGATGCCCTTCACCAACAAGGCATCTGAATCTCATTCTTCCTTTGCAATCCCACATACATATCTTTACCTGTAAATTCCCCAAAAGTAGAGCCTTTGGGAACAGCATCTCTAATAGGAGGTTTCTAGAAACATGTGAACATGCCTAAACATGGAAATCAGCATGGTAGGGAGAAGGCTGCTTTCTTAGGGTAAGGGGGATGAGGAGTGATTCAGGAAAAGCTCCTATATCTACAGCTGAAAAGGCCAGATTATGGACAGCCTCGCTTCATACGTGGCACACTGGATCACGGACAGCGACCGAGTGGAATAACCTACTGCAGATTCAGACTATTTAATTTGCATGCAGGTGGTGAACTTCTGAAGCCATATTAAGGCTGAGGCAGGGTGGATTAATTTCGAGTCTTTGATATTCATTAACTTGAGCGTCAGAGAAAAATACAAGGAGATGACACAATTACCCTCGGAGCTTCACTGTGGAGCAACAGCTTTACGGTCTCAAGTTCACAACGCTATACTAATTGATAGAGAAGGGGTGAATCCCTATGAAGAGAGGTGAAAAAGCATAAGGCTCAAGTAAGTCACTGCTATTATAGGGCTTCAGAGAGTCAATGATGCTTTGGGGGCACTTAGCTAAATGGCCCACATTATTTGCTATTTAAACCACTTTCTATTATTCAGCCCTCCTTGGGTATCAAATGATCCACTGACAAACAAAACCCACATTTAGCCTAAAGTTTATGGTAGTCAATGTGCAATTGTCAATTCCTTTGAAAGCAGTAGCAGTCAGTCTCATCACCATATTTCTCTCTTCAGGCCATGAATCTTTTGACCTGTAGGGCCCTCAAAAATACATCTGAAAGTCAGAAGATTTGTTCCACAAGAGGGAACAGCAGGAAAAAAAAAAAAAAAAGAAACAACAAAAATACCCTTCACAAAAGGCCTGGCTGCCACAATGTGCCTGAAGTAGGAAGAGCGGCACCAGCTGAGCATTTACCTTAGGATCTTCATAGACCTCGGGGTCCATGTGCAAAATCTGAGGGTAAAGGGCTATCCAGTCTCCTTTCCTCAAACTGACTTCCTGATCCCCTTCGAGCTTGAGAACAAAATCCTCCTGGCTGATGCGAATGTTCATGGAAGATGAGCACATCCGTAAACTCTCGTTTAAGGCACTCTCTGTGATTAAACAAAAGCGGAGGGGGGGAAGCATCAGAAATATGGGAGATGACTGCAAGTTATACATGGCTGCAGCTGCTGCATTTCGACAGGTTTAGTAGGGCAGGCTAAAGGAGGAAAAAAAAAACCAACAAAAAAAAAAAACAAACCACAAACAAAACAAAACATGAACCAGACACTATGAGAAGGTACTAAACAGTCCCGCAGGGCGGGGGCCGCGGCTCTGAGCACTGCGATGTGATTCTCGCTGATGGTTCTGAGAAACTGTGTCGGCTGGAGGCAGCTCCGGATTTTGGGTGGAAAGTCATTATTCAGGCACCATGTTGAAAACAACACAATCAGAAGACATGAATGCTTTGTGCATTTCCTTTCATTTTGGAGCTTGAGAGCAAATACCAGTGAAAGCATTCGCAGAGCTATTCAGCTTGCCTTTCAGAAGCTGTTGGGTGTAGAGGCACAACTACATGCTAGAAAAAACACTTCGCTTGCTAGTCTGAGGATTTTTAAATTTATTTGCTTTGTTTTCAGTGAGTTACATTGCCAAATGGTAGCATCTCTTATGGTCAAAGTGAATGAAAGCAATTCATTATCTTCCTGGGAGTTTTCAGAGAGAAAGACACTTTTAATTGTCAAAGAGAAAACAAAACACAGCCCTTTCAGTACAGGAGCTCAGTTTCTGTCTCCACCATCACATCCTGGAAAGCTCCAGAAGCTGAATGTCCTTGCTTTCCCAGTGGCCTTCACCTTTTGCTCCTAGCACGACAGATTTTATGGCTAATTTCCGGCAATTTATCCTGGCAGTTTGAGGAGGAATTCCTTTGGGAATAATATGCATAATTTGCATAAATCATTCTGATAGCATGTATATCAGCATGTAGCTCCTGTCTAAGGCTGCATCTCTCACTTTGTAATCAAAACTGACTATTTTTCCACCAGCGTGTATGGGTGCTGTTATATGTGACTGGATTCCTTCTAATCGTCAGCTTGAAAAACAGCCTAAAATTGGGTTTCATTTTCTCATAACAATCCATTTGTGCCCATTTTTATGTTTGGGGATATCAAATAAGCCTTCTCTAAGCATTCACCAAGGCGCTGTAACTGCTGCACCCGAAAGGTTAGCTTATTAGAGACAGTAGCTACCCAGTGTAGATGCAGCTGAAAAAAATAATAACAAATGCTCTTTCACTAAAAATTAAATCTGGTGCAGCATGCATAGCAAATAAAGTGGCCCTGGATGCTTTCTTGCAAGAGGTTTTTCCTTAAGCATGCATTTGTCTAAAGAAATGAGGCTGCGGTCAGCTCTGTGTGGCCAGCGCCGTGATTCAATGTGACGTACAGTGAGTCTGTGCATATTCTTTTGGACTGCCTTCGTTACTATAATCAGGCAGAGTCAAATCGGCTTGTTGATGACGAAGCCAGAGAAGAACCCTGGTTCCAGAATATGGCCTCTACTGCGAATAGCCACAAGGCACCTGACACGATAGATTTCAACTGGCAGTGCTCTGGCAACAAAACTTTGCATGGTACAAAGGAAGGGTCCAGCCTCCACTCCCAGACTGCCCTCAACCTTCAAAACGCACAGCTCGGAACGCCACAGTTTTGGAAACGGCGGTGACGCATGTGGCAACACCATTCACCCAGGAAATCAAACGGGGTCGGGGGGGGGGGGGGGGGGGTGGGGAGAGCAAAAAAGGAAAAATAATTATTGCAGCGCTGCTGCGAAATACCGGGTCTGTGTTTAACTTGACCAGCGCTGCAGTCACATCCTATCGGGGGCCATCCTCTTGCAGAGCACAGCAGTCGGTGCCCACCGCCGGATCGCAGATGACAATCGGGCAGCATATCTTATGCAGAAGTTAATCACAATAATGGAGCACAAAGTGTGGCTTAGCGGTCAGATCGTAAATGACAAATCTGTTTTACCTTCCAGTACCAGTTATGTGTAGAAGGCGAGCTTGGCTCTAGCTCTGAGCGATCATGCCGATAATCATTAGATGACAAAAGTAATGAGTCACATTATGATCAACAAAGGAGGATGGAAGCTTATACTGGTTTGCAGGCAAACATTAAAAAAAGAGACAGTCAGCTTTCCCCAAATGCCGGGGCTATACGTTGGGAGGAATGACAACTGCACAATAAAGCTGCAGCCTTTGCTTGCAGTTGTCATAGTTGAGCAGACACCAGCCATCGCCGCTGACAGACCAGCTGGGTAGCTTGGGAGGCCTTCCATTCTGCACCATGAGGTACAGTAAATTATCCAGCGTGGTAGAGCAACATCTGTTTCTGTGCTTGTGCCGAACAAACAAGGCAATTTAAAGCATACCAAGGGATAACCAAGCAGCAAATGAGCATGACCCTCATTTTTTTCCCCTTCTTACACACACGAGATGCTAAACTTTGCTGTACACTCACTACATAAAGAAGCCAGGCTGTTGTTTGATAAGGTGTTGTCAGAGAGATTTAACATATTTTCTAGAGAGAGAGAGAGAGAGAAATATCTCATAGTATTGTTATTCTTAGAATCCTCCCACTTCTCTCTTCATTCCTCTTATACTAAAGCTAGCACTCAGTCTACAATTCATTCTAGATTTTTTTTTTTTAAACTGTTTCAATATACTTATAAATATTCAGTCTTTAAACCCTAATTTGCTATACTTAGTTCACATGCCTTCAAGCATTTGTCTTCCAATTTCCACTGAATAAATGCGTACTAATGAGAAATAGAGCAAGCTGCTGAGGCAAAGCTGGGTGACTTGAGCCTGGCCTGCCACCAGCTTGTGATAGGCAGGCAAATTGAGTTAAAATGAAAAGTCTTGTCAGCTGAAATACAACATGGTAGCCAAACAGCAAGCTGTCAATCATCCAGCCAAAACAAGGGACTGCAGGTAATAAAAGGTCACTGTGAATCATAAGTGCATTTGGCTTTCATAGGCAAGTTAATTTTAATTAAACATGATCTCGATCTGTAAATGTTTTATAAAACTTATTGTGCATAATGGATTGTTAATTTTACACTAACAGCAGGTAATAGGGTACTATAATTATTAGAGTGCATTACAGGAAAAAAGCAATTGGGTATGCAAATATTTTTGGGGGGGGGGCGGGTCGCTAACTCACATGCACAGCAGTGTGCCTACACACATGACAATTGGAAACAACTACATCTGTATCTTCCTAAGAATTACATGGTACTGCCCAGCCGCCTCCAGGACAAATATATTTATTTACCTTAACCCAAATAACGATGTTAATGCTTATTGCTCGTGTTACAGTTACACACTCCGCATTAGCTCTTTTGGGGTTCCTGTCCTTTTGTCTATACGAAACGATTTTTCAAGCTGTGCTTTCTTTGCAGGAAATCTCCGGGATTCAGCAGTGACCTGGGGCAAGAATACTTCACCATATAAATGAATGGACTAATACTGAACAAACGAACTGACTAAACATGCCTAGCGTTACACATGCACTAAGTATATTTCCCCTCTACCCTGTGCATTTCCCTTATAACCATAAAAACCGACAGACCGTTCTCATGTATCGTTTACCGTATTAGAGCTCCATTGTGAGTCATAATGACTAATAATGTATGTTACTCTGTGCACACAAGCACGCGTGTTTTGGTTGCTGGAAAAGTCTTAAGCAGACAACACGAGGTGCGCTGCCCCAGAAATGCCATCGAAAGAAAATAATCAGGGCCACAATGTGTGACAAGAGGGTTGAAAGCTTTTTTTTTTTTTTTAAACCACATACCTGTGTTTTGAATTTGGAAGTAAACTGGGACATGTCATTCCCTAGACCCAATGAACGTGGCCACAATAACAACAATGCCTCTCAGAAGGGCTTTTTAGCAATTCCTGCTTGCTCTCCATAGCATGAGGAATCCAAAAAAAGGCTCTTGTTTCAGCAGGCCAAAAAGAGGACGGGGAATCAGAGTGCTTAAAACAGGAGAAAGAGATGACAAGGTGATAAATAGACAAGAACCCCACCTGGCTGCCTTACCCAGGAACAGGGACACAAATTCCCATTTCTCTGTGCTGCAGGTCAGTACAGGGGGAGAGGGAGGAGGACAGGCTCCTTCTCATATGCCACGGCCAGAAAGCTGTAGGTACTCTAAGTGCGAGCAGGGTTGGCTCATGGCTTTCTCCACACAGCTGCCAGTGGAGATGGGGAATTCCTGCTGCACAAGCAATGAAAATTTGAACCTTTGTTCCTTCTATACATTTACTAAAAAAACATCCCTTTCTCCTTTCCACTGAAGCATGAATTTAATTCTCTTATGGTACAGTTTTTTTTCTATATTATTATTTTATGGGACAGTATCCAGCCCTTTACGACTTAAGTGCCAGAAGAATTGAAATCATTTCTTACATATCATATTATGTTTAACACCATTATAAAATTTAACAAAAGTGTAACTTGAATACTACGGAATACTACGAAGTAAGATGCAGCATTTTCCTCTTAACACGTGTATCAATGATCCTGAGACATTTGACAGTTTCAAGGAGCAGCAAGAGGATGACATGGTCAGTGTCGGAAACCGTTTATCCCATTTTTCACCAGGTGATTTTAGTGCGTTCTGTGCTTTTATTTTTCTTATTCCTGCACTTCTGGGGTGCTTTTGTTTTTCCCTTACCAATTTCACCTCTTGTCTCCAACTAAAAAATAAATTTTGTCTTGACCATCATAGGAAAAATTTCTTCTCAGAAAGAGTGATGAGGTAATGGAAAAGGCTGCCCGGGGAGGTGGAGCAGTCACCGTCCCCTGAAAGTTTTCAAGAAAAGGGCGGACGTGGCACTTAGGGACATGGTGTAGTGGGCACTGTGGGGATGGGCTGATGGTTCCACTAGATGATCTCAGAAGTCTTCTCTAACCTTTATGAATCTATGACTTCATGATCTCGATGCTTGGCAACTTTTCTTCTCTATTATCTTTTGCTGGATGCTAACTCAGATGTGAAACAATTTTACTTGTGTTCCTAAGTTACATGAATTGCTTAGAATGTCACGTTACTCTTGTTATTGGATATCTTCCCATCATCAAAAGCCTTCTCCATCAACTACAGATAAATCTGCATCAAAAGAGCTGTAACTCCAGATGAAACCAACTTACTAGAGCCACACTGTATTTGGTTAACAACAATGCTTTAATAAGAAGTAGCTGAATCAAACTCAATTTTAAATTTGTGCCATGAGAGACATTCAGATTGAACCACAGGCTCTCAGTATATGCCATACTGGAAAGTGGAATCCTTTACGTAAATGCTCACCAGGTGCACTGATCCCACACTGCTTTACTACCCCATCTCATAACAGCTTCATTTTAGAGCAGACCACCAGGTCAGGACAGGAGCAACCGAAACACACAGAGCTATGCTCAGCTTTACTGGGGGATTGCTGTCAGCATCTCAAACAAAAGGGATATTCACCCTTTATGCCTTTATAGAGCTTCTGTCTATTCTGATAGCACTACCTACGGGGATTTTCAGATGCTTTGAAGCTAGGCTGCTCCCTGCTACACACACCTATGAATACTTTCCTCTCTCCTCCACCAGGCTAATTTCATCATTCATCTGACCAGTGTCTGTGCACTAGGAAGTGAAGTGAAACCACTGGGCCCTGAAGGCTCATCCAACCCCAGAACACAACTTCCCAATGTGACTGGCCAGAGTCCTTCTGTGAGCCACTGATCTACAACTGGGAGACCTGGATCTCCCTCTCTGTTTTGAATCAAGGTACTGCTTTCAGTACTCAAAATGCCATTTCTCATCTGGAAAGCTTTAGTTCTTCTCTTTAGTTCAGAGGCATAGCTATGCTGAAGCCTGCTTTAGAACTCTTTTTATCACGTTAGGGAGAGAAAAAGAAAGAAACCGCTTGTGAAAAAATTACATTTGCAGTTTAAATGCATTACCCTACTTTAATTTCAGAAAAGGGTCTTTCTTGGCAGTACCATGCTGAAGTATTTGAATGCATTAACACTTCGGCAGATGCTCAGAATCAAGCAACTTAATAGGCATCAACTTTTTTCAAATAATTGCAAAGCTTCGATTTAGCCTTTTGCATACCTTGCATAGTTAATTACCTAGGCTTTAATGTTTACATGCAATGAGAGTATCTACAGCTATAAACTACATAATTTATAATTGATGTAAATGGGTGTTATTATGTCAATTAGGCAGCTGTGTCCTCCACCTTCTCAGTAAACAGAAATGAGTGATAAACCCAGTTTGCAGGGAGAGACCCTCTTCTCTTGCTAACAGATAAAAATAAATTACCCAGGTAGACCAGGTTGTCCAATTGTTCTCTGGTGAGGTGGATGTTATACGTGGGCCCTCTCTTCTGACCTGTTGACTGCAGCAAATGGTCAATCTCGTCACGCACCGCTGCGAGAGCTTCTGGGTGCCGCAGCAGATAATACATGGCCCAGAATGTAGCTGGAATCGTGTTTCCCACAGAGGCCCACAGGAAGGCAAAATGATGTGCTGGGAGAAAATAAGTGAAAAGGAAGATTAATAGCGTTTATTACACTGATTAGATTTGCAGTGTGCTAATTAAAAGATGTTAGGACACAGACCCAGCCAAGGATCAGTGAATGCTAATGAGGACCAATAGGCTTCTGAAGTCTAATTTTCTGCTTAATGAGAATAGTTTGAAATGTAATGTCGGGGGGGTGGGGGGGAATAAGGGGAGTAAATGCAGCTCAGTTATAATCTTTCTCATTATCACCATTAAGTATCTTGTTTTACCACCTCAGCACAAAAAAAAAATCAATTATCATAGAGGGTTGTTTCAGAGTAAAACATTTTATCATTAGCCAATTAGAAAGAACATAAAAAAATTTCAAGGTCGCCATTTTGCCTTTTTATTTCAAAGGTCTATAGTAAATTATTTTATTTTAGACAAGCTATCATTCATAAGTTTCCTACCTGCTTTGTCATAATCTCCAAGCAGCTCATATTTCTCAAATATATCTTGTCTGGCTTGGACCACTTTTGACCCTCCCAGCCATTTTGTCATGTTCTGAAGTAAAAAATGATGTATAAGCTCCTTCCGAACCTTCTTGGTAGCTCCTAGCAACTCAATTGGTATGTTTGCAGCTAAATAGGGAAAGCTGGCATCAAACTTGATAAATTTGTCTCTGATTTCACTAATAACTTTGCGGCCATCTGCAGCAGGAACTCTTCCATATAGTGTTACAAAACTGGCTTCAAACATTACAGAGCAGCAGAATTTGTACATTTTTTCTGTTTCCCAATCTGTTGCTTGTGAGCATTTCCATTCAAATATATCCTGGAGGTTTTTCATCATGTGGTCAGAAATTATTTCCAAAGGCTTGCCTTGTAGATACTGGTAGATTCTGTGCAGGTTTTCCTTAAGATCGGGGAATTTTACATTTGACAAAGCTGGGTAGTCAAAAGTTTTGGAAGCCATCTTATCAGCAAATTCGTGGAACTCAAGTTGTTTGCTATTTCGGATGACGTAAACATATTGAAACGGGTCCATGATAAAGGTAATATATCTGCCTGAATAGAAGAAAAGAGAAAACAGACACGTGGCTTTGTACTCTGATGCTTTTAAAGGTAATAACTGAAAATAAGTACCATCAACATCTGGAAGAACATCAAGAAAATTGCCAAAGAAAAGATCTGTGAAGAGATTTGCAAAGAAAAAAAAAAAAGAAAAAAAAAAAAAAGAAAAAAAAAACCAAAAGGAAGATACAACATACTGTATTTAGTTTTGGAAGAAAACACAATACTTACTCTCCTTGTAAGGATTTCACCTGCATGTACTTTCACAGCACTTCTAAAATCAGCACAAAAACACATTTCAATTGCAGACTGACCTACCGGTTTTGCAAACTATAGGGTGTGACCTGCAATTATGGCACTTTGGAATAAATCAGTTACTACCCCACTATGATTTATGAAATGTAATGTGGGATCATAGCAGCATTGTAATTTTTTTTTTTTTTTTTTTTTAATAGCACTAAGAGATTTTAGTATTTCATCTGCATAGAGGAAAGTGTATGAGGGAGGCTGAAGTGGAAAACTTGTTACCTAGGCAGATTTTCTTCAAGGAGATGACATCTAGACTGAAAATCTACTGGCAATAGTTTTAATTGCATGTTGTAAAGCCCCAACATTTAAAGCTACATCTGTATTTTCCTTTCATGGTGTCTCAATTTTTTTTTTGCTAAGAAGTTGCTTAGTATCAGTAAAATGACCACTACGGAATCTGACTTTGAAGCCCTGGCTTACAAAAGAGGATCTTATTCTTACAGTGCTTGCCATTATGGGGCACGCACTGACCTGGCACGGTCATTCATTGTGTCAGAGTGCATGGAAAACTTTATGGCCTTCTTGATGCACTTGAGGAGCTCTACAGCAGATTCTCCAGCTTTGGATAGTAAGGTACAGCACTGCCATGGTACGATGACTTTTGAAATTGCCTATACCAGAAAAAAAAAATCTAAATTTTCCCCCAAGTTTAAAGTAAACTAATGAAGAACATTTTGGTGAACTATCATGAATCAAAATGCTAATACTCCCAAAGCTCAACTAAGCCTTAACTCTTTATGGGCGATTCCCATGTTAAGTCTAAATTTAGAGCTCTAGATTCTTAACTTGCAGGGACAGGTGCATTAGGGAAAAAAGGTACCCATTAAAATGTACACATTCTCTGTGAAATATCCTAGCTATAAACCCAGAAAACATCAAAGCTTATCATACTTACAGTCTAATTCTGTCTTACTAGAGGGACAAATGTCCTTTGATTTTAATGGGAATGCTACATGCTTAACTGAGGGCCAAATTTGGCTCTGTGACAGATGTCCTGAGATAAAGTAGTCACTACCACTAAAAATGTCAACAAGTATCCATGGTTACCATGTAGTGATATTTGAATGATCATAGTTATTCCATATCCTGACTTGCACATACACACCCTGCTCTGTGGCAAAGATGGATGCACTCTGGACTTTCTTTGCAATAATAACCAGCTGGTGAAATTTTCATCCCATTTACACTCCCTGCAATCCCAGTGAAACAAAGGGAACACGAGGGAAAAATTAAAACAGAATTTGACCCCCTTCTTCTCAACAATGTGTGAAGGTTTTTGAAGTACTCATGTAGTTTGCTTTACTGTAATGTAACAAACTACAGATATAAATCAATTTTGAAGAGCAAGAAATCAGCCTGATAAAGAGATCCTCAATTCCCAGTTATTTTCCTGACCATTTCTTCCTTTCCAAGGCTCTTATAAATTTTTAGCTCCTTAATTTTTTTTAACTCTTGCAGGATATTCCCAAGCCTTTGTGAAGAGTCCCAGCACTGCTCTCCCTGCACTCCTCTCACCCCAGCTTTCTCACAATTGCACACTCTTCACTGAGGCCACCATCTTTGTGATCAAAGCTTGGAAAGAATGCCCATTGGAGTGATTTTTAATAAATAGACTTGGAGTGTTATTAACCCTAAAGATGAAAGCTGGCTTCCTAACTTTGCGTTTACAGGGTAAACAATTTAAGTTAAGATTTTTAATTAATATTAATTTAAACCATCTGTCCACCATCTGCTTATTTCTGATGCAAAATATGAGTTTCTTTGTGATCTTTAATCAGACTCTTAGCAAACACACATCAATTCTTATCATTTTTAAGCAAGAAAATAATTTTCTGCAAATGGGTTTTCAGACAAACAAATTATTTTAGCAATAATTTTAAATCAAAATTCCCTCAACACTAGCACATACTTTGGAAAAGAAAAACTCTGACAAACTGAATAGCACAGATCCTTATTTTTATTGTTCTCATCAGGTTCCTGGTAGCAAAAAGTAAGTATGTACCAAAATATAATTCATTTTGTAGAATCAGCTTGGGCTCCAAACCATAGCATTGCAAGTTGGCGATATATGTAAACACACAAAACAAAATACTTTGTTACTGTATTTATGCAATGTCTCTATAGTCAGAATAGTGGAACCCCTGTATAACAAAGGCAGATTGTGTATGTACCTCACAGAGGATCCACAGAATCACAGAATGGCCAGGATTGGAAGGGACCTCAAGGATCATGAATCTCCAACCCCCTGCCACACGCAGGGCCACCAACCTCCACATTCAATACCAGACCAGGCTGCCCAGGGCCCCATCCAACCTGGCCTTGAACACCTCCAGGGACGGGGCATCCACAACCACTCTGTGCAGCCTGTTCCAGCACCTCACCACTCTCTCTGTAAAGAACTTTCCCCTGACATCCAACCTAAATCTCCCCTCCCTCAACTTAAAACCATTTCCCAATTTTAGATCTCTTTGTTAGAAAAAGACTAAAATGTAGGACTAATTAACTGCAGTTAGAAAGTTATTGTTGCAAGAGTACGGGTGCTTACAGACATTAATATCATGCCCTGCACACAGATGCAGCACCACAGGTTTGCCCCAGTGCCTTCCACCCAATAAGATACTGATGACAATTACAAACTCATGCCCCAACACCTCCCATGCCCTAAGCAGACTTTGAGAACTTAACAGCAAACAACCAAACTTTCTGACCTCAATATACCATTTTGAGGTATCATCAATACTGCCATGAATTTTGCTTTTCAGATAATTTTGTTTCTGCAGTTGAGGTCTCTTCCCACTTAACATCCCTGCTCGTGTAAAATACCAACAAATGCAAAGTTCTTCCTCAAGATTCTCGTTATTCTGCAGTATTTTAAAATGCAGCTGCCTCTCCCCTCCAATACCATTCCACTGCAGCTAATGCCAAGAACTACCTCTTGCAGTGGTCTTTTCCAAAACAGTACCAAAATACTGATGCTCATGATTTTCCATCAGAGTACTGGTAAAGGTAAATGACAGATCAGCCAAAAGTGGAGGCACGCCACATGCTTTCCAAATTAGGAAGCTTTAAATATTGAACATGTTTATAAAGAAACCACTAGGGACAAAGCCTGTCCTTGTTAGAATATAAAAAATTCCTTTGGCATAAAAGAGCAAGTAGACTTGTCCATACAGAAATGTCACACTGAAAATCCCAATAGTTTAAGTCACGGAGCTATTTTATTTAGTGCAATAGAAACAAGTCGAAGTAATAGATGTATACTTGTTTCTGTAAAAAGCCCTCTGAGTTATTTTAATATGGATACAGAAAATTTATACTCCTTGTCCAATCCTTCAGTTTGCATTACAACCGTGCTGCAAATAGCCTGGTTATCTCCATTTAGTTTATAAACTCTCCTAGAAATAGAAGATTGATGTGAAAAATATGAAAAT